TTATCTGATCTTGTTTTTTCTGTCTCTTAATTTAACTATATCTAGTATTACCTTGTTCTCTATATTTCTCATTTTTTTGTTACTATACTACTCCCAAATTGGTTCTATTTAAATATGTTTGATCCTTATGATCTTCCTATCTTTGATATGCCTGTTATTGATTTTTCTAAGATGTTCTGACAATGGTCCAGGATCTGCAAAGAACCTGTATCTTAAGCCAGATCTGCTGCTGTCATTGGTCTTTTTTGACCAATCTATATTTCAAGCCATGTCTGTTGCTACCATTCCTGCAGATGCTCTAGGTCTTAATATTATACAGTAACTTGATACTGCATTTAATCTTCAACATGATGCTCTCTTCTATGGTAGAGACTGAGACTTGTTGTGCTTAAAAACAGGACAATTCTGGTTATACCTAGGAAGTTCCTCCAACTTTAATGATACCATACTACTATTTATTGCAAGCTTCTAGCTTATTCGATAATACTTGCAAGACAATTCTGGTTATACCTTAGAGAGTTATACCAATCCCAATGATGTCATACTATTTTGCAGATCTTATCTCATATTGGTTGGTTGATCCCAGTCTTGTTTGTCATAAACTTCTATATAGGTATGACCAGAAACTCGATTTAGTACTTTTATATTATACAAGAAAGTCATACACCAACCTTCAAGATTTTTTTCTTCTATAATTAGATTATTCAGCTATGCCAAAGGTGCTTTTAATTTTTGGTTAAGCCAATTTTTTATTATAGTCCATTCTCATGTTCACTGCTTCTCTCATCATTCTAGTCTTGGTTACTTTCAGAATACTCCCCTAATCAAATCCTTTTCTTGAATCCTAATTAAGACTTATTTGTATAATCTGTTGATTATCCTTTCAAGCAAGTATTCTACAAGTTGAGTGCAGAGATGTTGGTATTGCCTATATTAGGAGATATAAGAATGTTGATACTGCTCTAACCTAAAGGACTTACATATACAATTTTTTCATAACTATAACCTTCTATAACAACTGCTTGTTATGCATAGTGTCTGTACTTCATAATTGGGTCTCCTTCCAAAAATTCATATTTCCATTATTGTACTGCACTTGGACTTAATCACAAGGTTTTGCATTTAATTACAGACTTCTTATTAGATTACAGAAACTAAAATCTTTCAGTTTTGCCTCTAGCCAGACTTGAACTGTTGATCTTAACTATGAAGAGTATGGGAGCTTAACTGCTAAACTATAGAACCCACATCTTTTTAATAAATTTAATAACCTGATTAGTTATATATTTCTCTATATATATGTTTTTTGTATATAGTTTATCTAATCTGTTCTTTTGAAGATAATTCATAAGTTTTAATTAGTTTGATAATATTATTACAAGTTTATATTATCTTTTTATTTAAGAATTTCCAAAAAAGTTTTTAATTTCTTAGTTTTTTTTTTTTAAAAAAAAAATAATCTCTTTGATTTTTTAACTTTTATTAATAACTTTTTTTGGTAATATAATTTTGTGAACTACTATAAGAAGAGTATACAATTGACTATACATATAACTTTTTTATATTATCTATTTAAGAAATTCATTTAAAGGTTTTTTACAATTACTGTATCTAATACTTCTGCTTAGATGTTTTATTTTAAACTCTCTAAATCTGTATCTATATTAACATTACTAAATTATGTTCAGGTTATTATCTCAACTTTAGAATTATTTTATTCTTGAAGTAAATCTCTTAAAACTTTTTATATTTATTTTTACAATTGATCTAAATATTATTATAGTAAAAATAACATTTATAGAGTTTATTCAAATTTTAGCATTTATTTTATTCCTTAGATTATAGATTTTTGCAGACAAATTTGTCTGCATAATTGTATTTTTTTGGCTTTGATCTATTTTTTTAAAATGTTAAAATATTTAAATAAAATTTGATATAATAATATTTAAAAATAAGGATTACTTTTTTGCAGTATTTATTTCAAAATTATAAAAAAAAAAAGTAGGTTGCTTATAGACCAAAAATGTGTAATTTTAAAAAAAATTTCAATAAAATATTTTTTTAGTTTATCTATGATAAACTTTTTAAATATTAATTTTAAATCTATAGTTTTTAATACAATTTTTTAGTTTATATTAAAAATTATGTTTTTAATTATTATAAGTTTAATAATTTATATATAAAAATTATATTTATTTTAAGAGAAAAAATTTTTTTTTGATTTCAAAAACATATAAAATTTTAGAAAACCTAAAAATATTTTAATAATAACCTTTTATATTATACAATCTTTAAACTTTAATTAATTAAAAGTTTTTTAATAAAGTTAAAAAAGTTTCTTAACTAAGTTTATAAAGTAGAATTTTAAAAATATTTTTTATTTAGAAAGTATATTGCTAAAATTAATTATTAAAATTTTATTATAAAAATTAATTTTTAAAAAAAGATGTAAGCCAATTTGCATGCAAAACAATTTAAGAAATAAATATTAATTAGTACTATTTTATAATGTTTTTTGAAAATAATTGTTAAATATTAATATATTCATAAAATAGCTTTTTTAATAGATAGTCTTTTAACCTTATATAATTATCTTTAAGCTTATTATACTCATAAGCAGAAATTTGGTATATTGTACTATTATTTTCAGGACTATAAGCACTTTTATTATTATAATAAAACACATTTATATTAGTAACAGTTGCAATTAAATAATCAAAATAATTTTTTTTTTTAATGTTAAGGCAAGTAATTGTGATCCAAGAGTTTATTGATAATCAGTCGGCATATAACTATTGTGTATAACAGCTACAAAGGCAATTATAGAAAGAGTATACAACTAGCCACTTATACAACTTTAGTTATTGTCTATTTTAAGTAATCTACTTAAAGGTTTTACACTAGTTGCCATATCTAAAACCTGCCTATGGGTTCTCTATTTAAACACTCTAATTCCTGTATCCACTTCTACCCTATCAATTGCAGTCATTACTGCAAATATACCATAGTCACTAAGTCATGTTTAACTTTATACTAAGCCTACTGGAGCTTTCTATATTCTATACTTACAGCTAACCCAGTACTGCTCTGGCCTAGACCATCACTTGCAGTTAGGGCTAACCATTAAACCACTATATCCTTATAAAGTTCACAAGAACCCTGATACCTTCCTTTTCTAACTTCTACACCTCTATTTCTGGATCTACAAGACCTACAAGACTTCCCAAACTACCGATTCAGATAGCCTATCTGGCGAATTCAGTAGCTTGGTTAGTATATGGTCCTCTATACATGTTGTTGTTCTATTTATATAAGATTTTAGTAATTCTTTTTTAGAGGCTTCCAATGGTTTGGTAGTACTACTAAAAGTCCATGCTACCTCTTTACTTAGAATTTCTAAGTGAGTTTCTAACTCTTCGGTTCCTTTGCTTTCTATGCCCAGTGGTCTTATCATGGGTTTGCACTGAAGTCTTATGTAACACTGGCTATTAACATTTCTTTATGTGGGTGTAATGTTACAGTTTGCATAAATGCCCTGAGCTCCTATTCGAGATGATGCAACAAAGGTTACAGATACACAAATCTAACTGATCGACAGAGACAGTTACCATAACACAGATCTTATTTTTCAAAATTTGTTGTCTATGGGATTTGAACTCTAGACCTGCCACTTAAGAATTGACAACCTGACCACTTCACTAGGTCACCACATTCTATCAGAATAATTTTTTAAAATCTCAATTAAAGAAATAATCATAGATATTGTTTGGTTTCATATATTGTTATCTGCTCAAGACTGACTAATAGAAAGCTCAAGAAAGCTTGAAAAATATACGAGTTTTTGCTAAGAAAGTAGTTTTTTTTATAATACTTAGTATAATAATACTTATTATATAATTAATCATCTTAATACATTTTCAACTATATAAAAAGGGCTAGCAGATATTATAAATATATATGCAATATTAAAAGATACAGATCAATATACCAAAGAGCATTTGTAAAATAATTTATAAATTCTTTTTTTATCATTTCATATAAACTAACTGTCTAACCAACTTGTTAAACTTAAAAAAACTCAATAATTTCATTATAAAATTTGTTGTAATTATTATGCTTATTATAACATTATAGAAATAAAAGTTGTTTTGAATTTTTTATTAGAATATAAAAAGCATCTAGTTCATTTTGAATTAAGACTGTTTTATTTAAATTAATATTAGAAACAAAACAAAATTTAATATATATAAAACTTAAAACTTCTAGTATTGCTAAGTTATCATTTAACTTATTATCTACTTTTTGCCAATTTTTAGACTTTTTATGTCTAATAAAAACTTTTACTTTTTTATTATAATATTGTCTTAACAAAATTGTATCAAAAAAATCAAAAAATTGATTACTAATAAGCTTTTTACTCATTATTCAATTAGGAATAATGCATTTAATGCTTTTATTAACCTGAACCAAAAGATAAAATATTTTTAAGAAATTAATTATAAGCAATTTTTTCATTATAAAACCATAAAAGATAACTTTTTTTTTGATTACATATATACATGCTATATGTATAGTAAGTACATATGTCCTATTTCTATTATTAATTTCTATTGTTCATATTATATAATTAATATTACTTTTATTATATATTCTAAACTTTTATGATCTGTTTCAAGTTTAATATTTCTTTAAATGAGATACAATAATAATTAGTTCAGATAATTTATTACATACTGTATGAAGATAAGGTTTTTAACAGCTAGTATAGTTACTAACCATTAAAGGATTTTTAAATTAGAATATGTATAACAATAGTTTTAAGCAGTAGTAAAAAGAGATTACCTAATTACTAACATACATTTGCATTTAAGAATAGCAATCCTTTATATTTAGAATCTATTCGTATCAAAAAAAAAAGTGTATTGTTTTGCTGAATGAATAACAGATAAGTACTTGCCAACTTGAAATCCTGATATAAATTCAACAAAATTATTGAATAAATGAAAAACTTTGTTACCAATGTCCAGGTAATATTCACATTAATTTCTTACACTTTTACTTTCCAACTCTACACTAACAACATCTCTATTTATCAACAGTTTTACCATGATCCTGGTTATGCGGAGACGGGGTATTTATATCCTTTATTATCTTGGAAAAAAAGAATCCACGACTCAATAGTCACTCTTTCTCTTTTATAATATCTTTAACTATATTATACCACTACGGTTACATATTAACGCATTATGATTACTTTTATTAAAAACGATAATAAGATTATGCGCATAACGTTAACTCATACGCACATGCATAAACTTTTACTGATCTAACCGATTTGTGCTTATACGTAGTTTAACTGATCTACTGGTAATAATCACATGATTCAAATACGCGATTTCTATTGGTTGTTATATGTATATTATGTGTATTATTTATATTATAGGTATTTTCAAAAGAGGGGAAAGGGGTTATGTTAAACAAAAAATCAAGTTGGTATGGCCTAATACTAACTTAAAAACTATCTTAACGTGAAAAAATTTCAATAACAAAACTTATAAAAACTTAGAAAATTTAAAAAACATAATAAAAACATATAATAGGTGCAAAACACCATAGGTGCGTTTTATAATAATTGAAAAAAAATATTTTACCTATTTTTTATTATTTTTTTTTGTTAAAAATTAGGCAATTTGATTGGTTTATTGTCACATGTTGTATAAATAGCCAATAATGATGTCTTATTTAAATTTCATGTGATTTGATGGTTCCTCGGCCAATCGTTTGTAACTTGCATTTCGGAAAGTGTTAATAACGACAAGAGTTGAAACGAAGAGGTTTCCACTAAATTTGAACCGTCATGAGTAATATCTATATTCAAGAACCACATACGAGGTTTCTTAATTAATATTTCAATGTGATTTTGTTAAATCGATCTAATTTTTTCTTTAACCATTAGCGGGAAGGTCATTCTTCATACGACTGCTGGTGATATTGCCATTGAGCTTTTCTCAAAGGAAGCCCCTAAAGCGTGTCGAAATTTTGTGCAATTGGCCCTAGAGAGACAATATGATTCAACTATTTTTCACAGGTAGGTATTTTAAATTTGTCGGTTCCTCATCTCAAGAAACTTTAATTCAAATTGATACTTCATTTCGGTACCGAAGGGTAGTTTCTGGTTTCATTATTCAAGGCGGTGATCCGACTGGGACTGGTTTTGGTATTGCATCATATCAATTATTGTTATTTATCCAGATTTTAATCTTTGATGTGCAAAAATTCATTTAAAAATTTATTGGTTTATTTTCACTATTTACAGGTGGTGAATCAATATATGGGGGTCCATTTGAGGACGAATTTCATTCGCGTCTTCGGTTTGTACGTAGAGGACTTGTTGCAATGGCTAACACTAGCAAGAACGATAATCGTAGTCAATTCTTTATCACATTGGATAGAACAGATGAATTACAGAATAAACATACTATATTCGGAAAGGTGGTAGATGATACAGTCTTTAATGTATTGAAAATTGGTGAACTTGAAACCGATGAGAATGAACGACCACTCTATCCACCAAAAATTATTTCTACTGAAGTGATATGGAATCCTTTTGATGACATTGTGCCACGTATAACTTTAGAAGAGACATTAGCACAAACGGTTGCCATTTCACAGAAAGAAGAACCCCGTAAAAAAAAACCTAAAAAGTATAAAATAATTTTATTTTAATAAATTTATTAATAAATTTAATTGATTTATTTCCATTGGTTATAGAAACATTGCATTATTATCATTTGGCGAAGAAGCACAAGAACTTGACGCTAATGATGATCCTAGCATGAAAATAAAAAGTAGTCATGATTTGGTGGAAAATGATCCTCGATTAAGTAAAGAAGTTGCTGTAACTGACTTTAAACAGAATACAACAGAAATCGAAAAGGTTATATAACATTTAATGAGATAATGGACTATTAGCTAATTGAAATGATCACCAGTTGACACTTTATTATTCGATATCTATTAGGAAAAACCTGAAGAAACTAGAGATAAGATACATAAAAAAACGGTGATGGTAGATGAGAATTCTGCCGAAACATTTGATCGAAAAATGAAAGAAAATATTCGACAACATCATGAATCTATGAAATCGGAGGCTTCCAAAGAGGATAACAGCGAGCAACAATTATCTAAAAAGTTAGATCATTATTAATTAATAATTTTTTTTGAAAAGTGTATATATCTCAAAATTTATTGTCTTATAATGCAAGTATCATATTATAGGGATGCTATACGTAAGGAAATCGATCAGGTGAAACAAGATATAAAAAAATTGAATCGTTCGAGGGATTCTGATGATGATGAACCAAAGAAAAAAAAACAAAAAACCTCTTTTATGGAGGTTGAAAAACAGAAATATTTATCATCTGGAAAAGCTATTGCAGCTAAAAGGCAGAAAAAATCTGAAGAGGAGGTGAGTTGTACAATTATTTTAGCTGTGCCGTTTTCAAATCTTACACCCATGATTTTTACGTTGTATTCGTTTAGACGCTGAAGAAGTTGAAAGATTTTCAGTCCAAACTTTTTACTGCGGATCCGAAAGATGATAAACCTGTAACGATAAGTGAAAATGCAGAACTATGTATTCTTCATTCAGTTCCCAATTGCTTATCTTGCCAAGATACGTTTGGACAACCACAAACAGAGGACACTGATGAAGGCTGGTTATCACATCGTCTTGTATTTGAAAAAGATTATAGAGGTAAGGATTTAATGCAAAGGAGGGATGATCCGGACGATTATGTGGTTATCGATCCTTTAGAGAGGAAAAAACAGGCTATTGAACAAAACAAGGAAAAACGAGCACAAAAAACTAGAGGTGATGCATCTGACAAGGATCATAAACGAGAGCGGGACTAGTGACTATAGTTGACTAACAAATTACAAGCCAAGTCGATAATTTTGGATATTATTTCAAAACATTAAATCTAATAATAAACTATAACCTGAAAACTCCCACTGGCCACGCTTGTATTTTATTATCTTATTTTACATAAAGTGTCATATAATGTTTTCGATGAAAAAAAAAGATTAACATCGTTGTGTAACGATTCTAAAAGCTATGTAGATTATAACTTGAGCTTTCGCTCATATTGCAGCTGTTTTCATAAACTCCGAAACAGCTTAAAAAATCTCTTCGATGAAGTTACCGAGTCGGAATTAAATATGTCACATCGGCCAAAATCAAATTTATTGATTCATTTATCAATTTTTCGGATGTCCAGAATTTATGTAATATCTACTATTTATAACTAAAGAAAACCTAAAAAAATGCACTACATATTAACTCTTTTGATGATAATACGTTGTAATTAGAGTTCAGGGCATGAACAACATAGGCATGCCCTTGAGCTGAAAAAGACATGCCTATGGGTATACATATACAAGTGCTGTTAAGAAAAATGAATAAGTTTATTTATTATCATGTATAAAGCTGAATTTTAATATTATTAAGTGGTTATTCAAATTGCAAGTTCTATAATAGGTGTTATTATTGTAGTTACAAGACAATTTAAAGATCTTTGATTCTGACTAATATGATTACATAAATATATCTGCTATATGTATTACATATATAGGTTGCTGTTAATAAAAATTAAACAAATTGATATTTTTTAAAAAAACCAATATTTTAACTTTTTTACTTATATTCTGATAAATTTTAAAAATTTAGCAAAATATATATTAACAGTAAAAGTTAAGGTATTAATTTTTTTAAAATGTTAATCTGCTTGATTTTTATTAATAGCAGTTTATATCTTTTAAATTAACAAATTTTGTATAATTGATTTAAGTTATAGAACTGTAATACTTAAGAAGTAAATTTTTATTTTTATTTTTTTTTATTTTTTTATTTATATAATATCAGAGTAAAAACTTTATAAGTACATAGAAGAAATTTCTATACTAAAGATTTCTAATTACATTTGTGCTACTTAATTAAGAATATTTCTTTTAAGACATCTAATGTGACATTACATTTTCTATTTTCTAATAAATGTTATGGTTGATTAATTTATCAATTTCTAATTAGGATAGGTTAGAGAAAACCTAAGGTGTTTATCTTATTATTATATAAAGCAAGAAGTTGGTGAGTAATCTTGAAAAAATCATTTTTCAATAACAGAAGAATTGTTATTAATTTGAGTTGTAATTGAGTTTGTATTGGATAGTAGAGTTATAATAGATAAAAAGAATTTATTGCATTTGCTTTTAGAAGTAATATTACAGACAGTTTCTTATTGGTGTTGTGTAATGTTACAAGAAAATCAGATTTTGTTAAAGAACCAAAATAGAAGATTGTTAGATAAGTTTATAAGAAAATGTGTAGTTTGTTTATTTATAAGTATTTTAATATTGTTAAAAATCATATTGGATATGATGTTAATAAGTAGATTTAAGATATGATGATAATGTGAATTGGTTGTGTTGAGTGTAAAATGAAGTATTGTATTTAGAAGAGTAAATGATGAGACAATAAAAATATTAAGTGTTGTTAAAGTATTGTTAATTTTATTAAGAAGTGTTTGTTGTATATTTAAATTGTTTTTTTTGCATTGCAGTATATGTAGAGTATCTTCTATATTTAAACATTGTTAACAAGTTAAAGTAGTATATAGGTATGGGTAGTGTATATTTAAGTTTTATATAGTGATTAGGTTATTTGTTAGGATTTTTTTTTTCTTTCTAAGGCCATACTTGTGGCAATACTTTATTGACTTTATATTGGGTTAGCTATTACAACTATTTTTACAGAGAT